ATCATCCCCGAAGCCCTTCTTAATATTGAAACATGGCCGCCGCCGGTGACGCCGTTTCCGCCCTCCGCCCCACTTTTGTGGCCACTCCAACTACTCCCGGCGTCCCGAAGAAATGCATCGGCGTCGGTGGGAGGGGGGAGCAATGGAGCCTTAATAACGTTTACGTGCGCGGAACTACCGCCACCCCCTGAACGCCGAACTTTCAGCCGCGTGAGGGACGTTTCACGGTATAACGCGGCTCCTCCGCTTCCGCATCCCCTTCGTCGGAACAGGATTGAATGCGAAATGACGGAAACGGAACCAAACCGAGGAGTCCCCTCCCCCAAAGTCTCGTCGATTTCAATTTTTATGCGGAATTTTATACGGAAAGCCTCGACCTCGATGACGGCCCCGTAGAATTAACTCGCGGAAAATTCGGAAAGATTTGGGAAAATTCCGTCGACGGAATCGCACACCGAGTCAACGAGTGAATGGGGCGCCAAAAATCCGGCCGCGTTTTTTCCCACTGGGGCTGAAGAGCCACGTTCCCGCGATGTCTGAAAACTGCGCGGAGGAGTTTCCGCCCTTCCGGAGCGCGGCCTGATTTTCGCCGCCCTCCCCCCGGCCGCACGTGCGGCTCGGGCGCGTTTACGAGAGCGTAAAGAAAACTTCCCTCCGCGTTTTATCACCGCGAGCGAGCGTGCGCGGTGCCCTCGGGGAGATCAGGGGATGCGGTCGGGGATGCAGTTGCAGTTGCAGCTGCAACCGCGTCCCGGGGGTGGGTGGGAGGGCCGGAAGTCGTGGCCGGCGAAAATTTTACGCGACCACCCGACTCCGAGGTGACGTTTTCACCTCCCCCCGGAGCCAGGCCGCACCCGGAAACGCAATTTGCAATTTGCTATTTACAATTTGCCATTCGCCATTCGCAATTTGCGCCTCGGAAATCCCCGCCTTAGAAATCCCGTTCCGGCCTAGCGGGGCGTCGGATGCGATTTCCGCGGGTGTCGCTGACAATGTCTAGGATTCTTGATGCGCTGCCACGATTTAGTGCGGCCGCCGTGTACTTGGCGCGGGTCCGCGTGTCGCCACGGAAAGGGAACCGGGAAACGAGAGGGTAAGGGGCCGAGGGTGCGGCAAGCCGGCGGAACGGTAAACCGGAGTGCGGAAAACGCGTGGAAAACGCGGGGAAAGCGCGCGAGCCTTGTTTACCCGGCCATCCTGCTTTTACACGGCGAGCTCCGCGCTCTGCAACACGGCTCGTAAATATTGGAGGTATTTTTTATCCCCCCGCCACTCGGAAAGGGGTCGCGACCCGCGGATTCCGCAGAGAGTGAGAGAGGGAGGGAGAGTGAGAGAGGGTTCGTCGGGATTCCGGAAGTGCTGATTCTTCGGGAACGATCGATTTCCGGGTAGTCGTCGATCTCGCCGATTGGACTCGCCGAAGAGGCCGGGCCGATTCGCGGGACTGGCGTTATCACTCGGGGTTATCGCCGACCCGGGCCGATCTTCGATTCGCCCGGCCGCCGTAAATCGCCACGACGGTCATTATGGAGTTCTTTACGAGCCTCCGTCTTGACGAAATCGGCTCTCGACGCACGCCTTCCCGCGTCGCCCGTCACATTCGCGGCGCGTCGTGCCGCCCCTCGGACGCGACTCGCGTTATTGTCCGAGTTACGTCCGAGTAATGTTCACAACGGGAGCGGGGTGTTTTTCTCGCCATCTCGAGGCGTTGAGATGAATCTCGTTAAGGATAAAAACGAAAATAAAAAGGAGAAAATGGTTTTAAGTAAGGTGGAGAAAATTCTCCCCGTCGCGGAATCGAACCCGGGACCGGGGAGAGAACTCGCTCGAGAGTCTTTTCCGAGTCGCGGAATCGCGCGAGGAAAAAAAGAGTGATCCGAGAGAGGGGGACGGAATTAACGCCGATTTTAACGTCGACGTTGTTCATGTTTCGCGGTGTATGTACTCGAGTTTTGTAGGAGCGCGCGGAAATACTCGAAGTATTTCTCCCAGCGGGAGAAAGAGAGAGAGAGAGGGATAGCGCGGGTTCCTTTCAATTCTCGGGGTATTTTAGCGCGGAGTAATCGACGCCATTGGTCGGCTACGGAAGGCGCAAAAAGGCTGCCACGCCGGGGCATGCTAAAAACTTGCAAATTGCTCGCTACTTTCCCCGAAGTATTTGGAAAAAAAAAGGGAGAAAGAAAAAAAAAAGAGCTCGTTGGCGAGGCTCGCGCGCCTCGTCTCGTCGAAATTACCGTGGTAACGAGCGCCCCCTTTTTTTACGCCGTTAATTTGCCGCGGTAATTCATTTCGAAACTGCGAGCCGGCGTACGATCGCTTCCCCGGACTCGGAGAGTTCCTCCGGGGATTTTTCGAAAATCGTACCGAGCCCAACCGAATGTTGGCACGGAGGCGCAGAACGTTCCCTCTGACCCGACGCTTCTCTTTTGGCTCCCATTTTGCCGTTTTAACGACACCCGGCTGTCGGTCCGGGTTTCCGGCGCGATTCGTCTCCTGGTATTCCCCGAGGTTCATTTTCGAAACCCGAGCACTTCCCGGGAAGCGTTTTGGAATTGACTTCTGGACCTCGCGCCTGCGCATCCATCTTCGCGGACCTGCTTCGCCCCGCGCTTTTTCCTCCCCGACTCAAGTTTCCCGTTCCGCGTCGGTCCTGCCGGAAAATGACCCGAACGAAAGTTGTTCAGGATTTCACGCGGAACAACTTTTCTCCGAGACAATTCTTTCCAACATCTCCCGTTTCTCCAAAAACACCCGACGAAGACCCACCGCCGTGACCTAACCTCGAACTCCCCTCATCCCCAGGAAATTCGTTTAAATCGTGACCATCGTTGCCAGAGGGGCCCTGAATTTTGTCACTTTTCCAAGGAAGTCGACTTTCCGACAAAATTAAATATTTTCTCCGCGACGGTCTCCACGGATCCGGTGATCCTTATCACGTGTCCGTCCCGCATGCGCTTCTCCTTTCCGAGGTGGGGCGACGACGCGGCGTAGGTGTCCGAAAACCAGCGTTGCGGACCGTTAGGCGCGTTTAACGCGACGGAAGCTTTCAGCTTTATAAAAGCTTTAAATGGCGAGTGGCGCGTTGACGTAAGAATTTGGCACCGGCGACCACCCACGGCGTCGCGACGCCCGAGCGGTGCTCGCAGGACGGTCGGGGCGTTAAAAGAAGACGACGGGCAACTCAAACGGTGACGTCACTCGACGCCTCGCGACGTCAAGAGAGCCGACGAAGAAGCGACGCCCGCGACGCGACCTTTCTCCGCTTTCTCCTTCGCCTTCTGCGCCGCCATCTTGGATTGGCGTCGCAAATACGGGGCGCGACGCGTCGATCACTGTCTCGTTACGCCTCCTTTTTCCTTCCCCCCCGTCGCGATCCTCCCAGGAGCCTCGTCGGCGTCCCGACGCGATGTTATAAACATTGGTCCCAACAATCGAGCGTCCTTTGGCGAATAAATAAATCCCTTTTGGCACGGCCGCCGCCATAAATCGCCCGCCAACATTCAACTCCGTTGAGCTTAAAGCCTCGATTCCTCGTATATGCAAAGTGAACGCGCGCGTATGTATACATACCTTGGGTACATGGCCGCATGTACTCTCTCTCTCTCCCTCTCCCGCCCACTCTGCTTCCTCTGCCTTTGTCGGTGCAATATAGGGATTATAATGCAGTAGCCTGTTACGTGTTATCGATAGGTGGAAGGATACAGAGAAGAGGAGCTCTAGCTGCGGGAATTGATCGAAGGCGGTCCGCGGGGGGGGGAGGGGAAGGGGCCAAAGGAATACGTATGGAGAATAAGAAGAACGGGAAAGGGGGAGGAAATATTTATTACGTCACCGAGATGAGGGATCTCCCCGGGGTATTACGTCGTAAAAGGATTGCGTTACTCCGGGGAGGGACTCGCGTCCGGCCTGTAACGAATTTTCCACTCCTCGGCTGCGCGCTCGCGGAAATCCTCCGCTTTCCTTTGTTCCCGGGACGCGGATACGGATTTACGACCCGGACGCGCAGTTTTCCTCCTCCGAAATGACGTTTTCATTAAAATCGCGTCTTCCGATCGGACCCTCCGATGCCGTTACATCGTGTACGCCGACGTGTGTACGCGTCCGGGTAAGCATTACGGGGACATCGCGGCAATACGCGTTGCGGCATTTCCCTCGTTCCGATGTCGTAAGTGGAGTGTATGATTTTTTATGCGGCGCAGTTAGAGAGCCCGGGCGTTGTCCCCGGATATTATATGAGTTTATGTATGGGTCCCCGCGGTTGTTAAACATAAAACAGGCATTTTGCCGGATAACGAGCGCACCTATGACAGGACATAAGTTCTCGGTGCACGCCCGGGCCATAGACCGGCCGTTTAGGGGTGCTTTCGCTCGCCATCGACAGAGCCATCACCCGCGAGGCCCCCTCCGCGCCCCCTCCCCATTTCGCGATTAATAATTAATATCTCAATTTGTATCGCCGGGAACTCGCGAGAGGCTCACGGGAAGGAAATCCCACGGTGCAATTTTAAGCACCGGGAAGGATGAAAGATTCACGAAACGCTTCCTTCGTCTTGTCGCTCCCTCGCGGCGGGTTTCCTGGGGGGTTGCGCCCGCGCGGACCCTGCGGAACCGACCGGGTATTTTGTGAATAACCCATCGCCGGGGCACTTCGCCGTAATTCCTTCTCGCTCCGCGTTCTCGGCGACTCCTGACACGGTATCCAGAAAACGCGCGCTCGAGGAGTCGCTCCCGGCCCCGGTTTAAGGACGCCGAGGTCGGCCCGGGGTGCAACTCTTGGCGGACCCCCCGCGACCTTTGAATGGCCGAACAAAACCCAATTATCCGACAAGGGGCCAAGATACATGGATATATATGTTGAGGAAGTACGTGCCGACGTGTATACCCTGGGTACATATGTAAGCGTAACGAGATTCCTACCGACGTGATCTGTATTCTTCCCATAGACGCCGGCGCATAATGGCGGGTCGACTAATTGTGATTCCCATTACGTTCTGTTGCAGAGTGACAGTGGGCTAGTGGACACGGATCCGAGTCGAGTTAGCAGCATGACGGCCATTAACTCGGTGAGTGTCGTGACTTGGTTGGCGGAATCGGCGCCGCTCGAATTAGAGGCGAACGCGAGGGGGGCCGACCGCTACCGAGGGTCGCCATATTCCGGCCGCGTCCCGCCCGCCAATGGCCGCCGGCGCCCCGGCCGCGCAAGGACGCGCGGCGGGAATTTTAAACGGACCGATCGGGCCCGGAGTTACCCCTCGAGACGCGCGACCCTATTCGCCGTCCCTTTTCGTGGATCGACGAACCCGCAATCCTCGAGTTGAACTCTGGTCGAGAATCGAGAGATCGGTATTCGAATCCTGGTTCTGAATCAGGAGATCAACGTTCGAACCCTGGTTCAGAATCGAGAGATCGATAATCGAATTCTGGTTCTGAATCCAGAGATCGACGATCAAACCTTGATCCAGAATCGAGGGATCGATATTTGAATCTTAGTCCTGAATCAAGAGATCAACCTTCGAACCCTGGTCGAAAATCGAGAGATCGATAATCGAACCCTGGCTCTGAATTCTACGATCGACAATCAAACCATGACCCAGAATCGAAAGTTCGATATTCGAATGCTGATTCTAAATCCAAAGATCGACGATAAAACCCTGGCCCAGGATCGAGAGATCGATAATCGAATTCTGATTCTGAATCCAGAGATCGACGATCAAACCTTGATCCAGAGTCGAGGGTTCGATATTCGAATCCTGGTTCTGAATCAAGAGATCAGCCTTCGAGCCCTGGTCGAAAATCGAGAGATCGATAATCGAACCCTGGCTCTGAATTCTACGATCGACAATCAAACCATGACCCAGAATCGAAAGTTCGATATTCGAATGCTGATTCTAAATCCAAAGATCGACGATCAAACCCTGGCCCAGGATCGAGAGATCGATAATCGAATTCTGGTTCTGAATCCAGAAATCGACGATCAAACCCTGATTCGGAATCGAGAGATCGATATTCGATTCCTGGTTCCGAATCCAAAGATCGTTCTGAATTCAGAGATCGACAATCAAACCCTGGCCCAGAATCGAGAGATCGACCGGTCGATCTCGAGTCTCGGCGCGCGCGGGGACGCTCGGCTCCCGAGGCCCGTCGAAAGCGGAAACCTGTTTAAATAAAGCCCGCGCATGTGGGTCAGAGTCGGTGCGCGCATAGCGTCGAGTCTCGGTTCTCTCGGTGCTTACGCAAGCCTGGCTCGCTTTGGCGGCGCGAGCGCTCTCGAGTCCGAGGTCCGCCGTCCGAAATGGACGCGTCGCCGCCGATGTTCCGGCTGGACGCGAGCGCGCCGCGATCGCCACCGGCACGCGGAACGGAATCGGACCGCGGTCGCGATCGGCGGGGAACACGCGGAACGGATTCTGGCACGAGAGGGGACGCGAGTACTATGAATAGGGGAGCGCGAGATATCGACTCGTCGTCGAGTCGGTCCTCGACGATCGGCAGATTTTCCCGATCTTCGGCAGAATTTATTTATTTATTGAGATTATGCCATTTTAAATACCCGACAAGGATATTGGAAGAATGGGAAGAAAATCTTGATATACTTCTTCGCGTCCGTGTTGGGTCTTAACGTCGACCTCGGAGATATCGGGGAGCGACCGAATGCGAATTTATAGACGAAACGATGCAACGAATTGCGGGAAGGGGGGGCTGGTACATCTCTTCGAGTGTTACCGAAATTTCGAATCCTTCCGGGGAAACGCCGGGACGCCCGGGGTGGCTCGTTTCAATCGGAAACAGAAATAGATGACAATGCGGATTTTCGTCGCGTCCGCTCGGCACGCGAAGCGGAATTGGACCGTAAGGCGAGGCGCGATCGCGATTGGTCGACGCCGGGCCAAAGGCGAGGAGCTGATGCGATTATAGGTCCAGGAGCGAACTCGGTCTGGCGCGTTTAAGGAAAGTCGTACTATGAATATAGATGCTCCGTTTCCTTCCCCGTCCCTCCGTCCTTTCTTCCGATCTCTGTGCAACGCCTTGTTCGCAGGTGTTCCGAAATCTCGGAACCGCTTAGCCAAGGAAAAATCGTAACGTCTCGGACGCTCCATTTACGTTTTCCGGAGTGTACCGTGGCGCGTCTAATTCCGGCATCGCTCTATCAAGCAAATTACCCTGAGCCAACTTCCGGCGAGACGGAGGTACATCCTCCATCCGGGATAAAAAGGATAGATACCGACTCGAACGCTACTAATAAACGTCGGATCGTTAAACCCGACGTGAGTTTCTTGCAGTACGTGTAAGAAGGATGTTCCCGATCACGGGGAGGGCTAAATAAATTCGTTACGGTGCCTTCGAGGCATTTCCCCTTTGAGACAATCATATTACCGACAGAACGTCGGGCAGACGACTCGTCTGCCGGTGCCATATAGGGAACATAGTAAGACAGACTCTAGCATATCGCTCTGCACGACTCTTCGCGATCTTCTTGACGAACTGTCGGAATCGTTGGCCCCCGATGCTGAAAAACCGCTAAAATTGATATATGTACAAGATTCAGAGAAATATACGTTACTTGAGAGACTCTCCGCTCAAATTAACGGATGAAAACGGCGGGACGGATTTTCTACCCTCTCGTAAATGGCACGTCATTAGGCGGTCCTGAGCTTTCTTTTTCAGCTAATCCAAGAGGATCTTCCGATTGAGGGGGAGGGCTAAATAAATTCGTTACGGTGTCCTCGAGGCATTTCCCTTTTGAGACAATCATATTATCGGCAGAACTTCGAGCAAACGACTCGTCTGTCGGCGCCATATGGGGAATATAGTACGGTAGACTCTAGCATATCGCTCCGCGGCGACTCTTCGCGATCTTCTTAACGAGCCGTGGAAATCGTTGACTTTTGATGGCGAAAAATCGCTAAATGTACGAGATTCGAAGAAATATACGCTACTCGAGAGCCCCTCCGCTCGAGTTAACGGATGAAAACGTCGGTTCGGTTTTTCTGCCGTTACCTAAATGGCACGTCGTTAGGCGGGCCCCGACTTTTTTGCGGTTGATCCAAGAAGGATCTCCCGATCGAAGAGGAGGGTTAAATAAATTCGTTAGGGCGCTCGGGGGCCGAGATTCCCCTCGGGCAATTATATTATCATCAGAGCCTAATGTCTGCTATTTGTTTTCGGCCTTACGGGGAATATAGTGGGGCGTAGGGTAGCATATCGGAACGCGGCCGCTCTGCGCGATTCTCCCGATAAAGCCTCCGGTTTCCGTTGGACTCGCGTACACATACGCATCCCCGGTACCTTGGGGAGTAGGTCACGTGTGCTTGTTAGGTTAGGAGGGTTTGGAAATAGATCGAAGGAAGATCTTGGGAGCCGCCTAAAGGGAAGACAAACTCGTTACGGACCGGAAAGGACAGATCCCCTCGAGGCGCCTTCGCATAATGCCGCGAATATAAAGACGCTAAAACCTCGCGACGATAAATCGATCCTGCAACTTCGAGCAGGAAAATCGTACCCGCTGATGAATTCGTTCGTTCGACTACTTTCAGGGATTTTCGAGAATTTATTCATCGCCATTCGAGCGACCGCGAGACCTGCCGGTATATTCAAGACGGATTTTACCTGGCTCGGTTGAGAATTGCGTCGAGTCGAAAATAGTAACAATTAAGACCAAGGTCTAATTGCACACATACTGGATCCAACGACGGTCTTGAAGGTCTTAAACAATATTTTTTTCCCTTCTTACCCTGCAGAAGGATCTTTACGGACGAAGGACGGCACTCGTGATAGTTGAATTTCATTATCGGGAGACGAATGGAAGCGGAATAAAAGGGGGCAGGAAAAATGGCGAGGGGGTGGGATAAGGAAACGGCGAAGAGTCCTGGCATTTGTCCCCGGAATGTGAGATCAGGATCGTAAATCCTGATCGCCGTAGGACCTCTCGATCCTTCGGAAGTACTGCATCTGCCCCCTTCCCTCGTTCTCCTTTTTTCTCTCTCCCCTCTCCCTGTCTCTCTTTCCCTCATTTCAGCCATCTTTTGTGCTCCCGGGCGAAGGAGCTCGTAAAGACTCGATTTTATCGTAGTCGGGAAATTATCCGGATGAGTCCTGTCCATCGAGGCGAGTCGGCGCGCTAATTGTTCGCCCCGTCGTCGGGAATTTTCATCTTCGGCGTAGGCTTAGCAAATACCCGGCGAGGAAAGGAAGATCGCCATTTTACAATTAAACGAAAATGCCAAGGCGAAGACCCGTTCCCTCCGATTCCCGGTCTAGTCTGCGCTATCATAAATCGATATCGCACTCGCGCGCGATAAATTTCCAGGGGCAACATGGCCGCCTCTCTAGAGCTTCGGCGAAGGGTCGGGGGGAACTTTTTAATTATTAAATTATTCAAAGGGCCGCGCGATAACGAGCCGAGACGCGCCATCCTCGTCCCGATACGTCGAAAGTTTTTCCTCGTTAACCGGGACTAGCCGGCGCGGATTTTCCGCGGGATAAAACGGTTCGGCGTTAACGCGTCTTCCCCTTCCTTCCGGCTCCTCTCCATGTTCGTCGACAACCTCCAGGGGAAAGGAAAAGCGACTCGGCCGTTACGAACAGTTAGTGCCACTCTCCTTCTGCAAGCAGAACTCCGAAGCGTCATCCGGCGTTCCTCCTCGGCCGCCATTTTGACTCCCCTTTGGCGGATATTTTTCCTTCCGGCCGCCAGATTTCCGGCGGACCGGCCGGGAACAAGTAATATAAATTCCCTCGTAAACCTAACGAGCAGGATTTCCCGCGGAATAGAGCGGGCCGCGCGGTTTTAACGACGCGTCTTTCGCTTCTTCCGGCCCTCTCTTCTTCCGGGCTCGATCCGCTTGGCCGGAGGAAAATGGCGGCGGGCCGCTCTTTCTGAGCAATTAGTGCCACTCTCGCGGGGAAAAGTTTACGCGCCGTTCGCGCGTTTCTTTCTTCCCGGCTCCTGTCTTTCCGACTCCTTCGCCTCCCCCTCTGCCTGTTCTCCCTCGTTCCCCCGCTCTTTCCTCGACTCTTATCCCTTTTTATATTTCTCTCCTATTTTCCATTTCACTCCATCCTA